CCACCCCTTTCCCCCCAAAGTCCCGCTCTGCCATCAGCGCCGGCCCTGAGCATCACCTGGCTCCGCAAATCCCCCTGCCAGAAACCATTTCTCCGCTTCCCGATCCCGGGATTGGGGAGTGCAGAGGAGCAGAACAGAAATCCCAGCTGTGCTCACAAACCACACCGAAAAATAATACAGAAATCAGCAAAAGAACCGTTCAGAGGCAGCGCCGTGACCCCGGCGTTAAACCAGGCCATGGGCACGATCCCGCCCGGTCCCAGGGATCTGTGCCGTGAACAGAGGGATTCTGCACATTCCCGATCCAGGCACACGGCAGTGACCGCGGGATTGCTGCAGGAACACCGACCAGCATTGGGGAATGACGATTCCCTGCCCGTCACCCGGCTGTCGGCAGAGCTGGGGACGGCAACGAATCCCAAACCCTCCGTCCTTCCTTGGCCTTCCAGGGGTTTCCAGCAGGGCCACGAGGCCACGGGTCAGGATCACAGGACTGGGGACCTTCTGAGGACAGGTCACTCCTTCCCACAGACCCTTTTCCCCATATCACGGAGGTTTTCCCACATCCCAGATTTTTTTGCTGCACGGCGCCGCGTGCCGAGACGTCCACCCTAAACCCGCCGTGGTGTGGGGGGCAACGGGGGCCAAAACTGGACCCTCCAACCCACTGGTGATGCTGGACACTCCAGCACACCCAAATCGACCTGGTTGGCTCCCAAGACAAATCCACCCTGGAATCCTACGGGCGAGCGGCTCCCGCACCTCCAGCCGGGAAACACGGGGTGACGGCGGGAAGAGCCCTGGGTGTTGTGCCGGACCCCTGCCCGCAGTGCCGGACCCTTGCCCGCAGTGCCGGACCAGGGAGGAGCCCCAAGGTCCCATCCAGGGGTGCATCACCCCGGACACGACCAATGGATCCGCCCGCAACCGGCCCGGCCACGGCCAACGGATCCACACCCGGAGAGCGACCATCGGCAGCGCCTGTACGTGCCACGGAGCAAAAAATCCACACTTCCACACGCTACCAAAACTGCCTGTTATTATATAATTCTACCTTCATCATCCTTCATTTTTTTTCCTGGATAACCCAGGAGCTCCATCCAGCCAAACGTTTTCCCAGCGCATCCTCGCAAAACCATTTAAAAATAAAAATAAACCTTGTAAATCCACAGCGAGTGGTTAAATCTCTCCCCAGAACAGGGAAATTGCAGCATCCCGAGGTACCACTTATTTTTAATTTAGCCCCAATTATGAAATATAGAATTATTCTAATCTGGGCAAATCAT